TATATATATATATATATATATATATATATTTGTTTATTTAATTATTCAAATTAATAATATGTATATTGACTTATTATTAAATGTAAATAAATTAAGAAAAATTTGGGTTTAGATAATACGAAGAAAAAAAAAGGATATAGAACTATATTTCAAATGTATCGCGCGCTTTAGATAAAACCGATAGATAATATTACACATATACCTCTTTATATCTATTTATTTGATGAATTATTTTATCGATCATTATCTTTCTCTCTCTCTCTCTCTCTTGTTTTTTTTTTGTTTTAAATCCTCTCTCTCTCTCTCTTTCTTTCTTATTCACATTGTTATTGGAGATGGTGAAATCGGTCGAGTTTTTTATCGGAGGGTGGGAACGATATATCTCGATCAAGGGAGCAGTATCTCATCTAGATAGGAAGGAGCCCGTGGCGATGGTAGCCACATCGAGATCGGCTTACTCGCGCTTGAAAACGAATAACAGACGAAGACAGATCCAAAGAGAGAGAAAGAGAGAATCCTGTGATGCGTACACCAGTTTTTCTCTTTCTCTCTCTCTCTCTCTCACTCTCTTTCTGTTTCTATCTTTCTATCTCTCTCTTTTGTATCTTCGACGTGATCTTTCGCGCGTGGCACGCGCCACGCTTTCCCCGATTTGATCTAAATTCGGGCACCGATCCTACCAAGCCACTACTACTATCACTAAACTAGTTCTACTATATATATATGATACGTGTGTGTGTGTGAAAGGAAGAAAGAAAGAAATAGGGTTTCTCTTTTCTGTATTCGTAAGCTTTAGGTATTTATTTACCATACACGCATGCGCAACTTACATTAGGTTTTTCTCCTCTCTCTCTCTCTCTCTCTCGTTTCGTTTTGTTTCCCCTCTCCCCCGCCCCTCCACTCTTTTCCAATTCCTTTCCTTTCCTCTTTTCTTCTCGTTTCCGTCTTGTCTTTTCTCCTTTCATCAAAGAGATCTCACTCGACACCTTCCTCTCTCATGATTAATCTTCTTATCGAGATGGAATTTGTGTTTTTCTTAGGTATGCACTATCTCTTTGGATAAGATGATCGTCCGACATCTTGATATCCTCTTGAAAATGTGATAACACTTAATTAGAATTTGCAAAGATTTTAGATAATATTTTTATTTTATTATTCATGTTTTTAGATAAGTATCTTTCATCAAATTAATTTCAATCCTTTTAACGATCGAATTCTTGTTTCTATCTATGAATACAAGAATGTCATTTGTAACATTGTTATTGAAAGTTGTAACGTAATCGATACATTTTCTTATGTCATAAATTCAATAAAACATTACAGAGAGTGTATATAATTTAAAATTATTATTTGTTTTAATCCCAGTTAACAAAAAAAAAAAATAATTAGAAAATTTAATAACATACAACCGAAAAAAGAAAGGAAACATATCCCGGTGCATTCGTAGCATCTTGAAAAGTCTACCAAAGTATGCGATTAATCTGCATAAACGAGCATTCCCCGATGTTGGAAAAGTAAAGTAGGAAAACACACACACACACATACGGTTGAATCTAATATGCAAATAAAAGGTAAAACTATGAGAGTGTTAGAGTGTACTCTCTCTCTGTTACTTTAATAAATACATACCTCGTTAACGTATGCGTGTACGTTGAAGTTAAATAGTATAAGTATATATACCTAGCAGCTAGAGCGACGGAGAAATAGAGGTGGTGGGGGTGTTGGGATTGTCAGTGGTGGGAGAGAAAGAAAAGAAAGAGAGTGGGAGTGAGAGAAGTGTAGAGAAGTGAGCGGAGATGAGTCAACGCCCGCGGTAGGTTGGACCGTTCGTTGGATTCGTAGGCGGGCCGTTGGGAACCGAGTATTTACGAAGTTGATCGAAGTTGATCGAAGCCTAGTGAACGTGGGGGCCACGAAGGCCCGTGTTTTCGTGCGCCTTAGTTCCGCGCCGGGTGCCACATAAGACGCATCGAGGGTCAGTGTTTAACGCGCGCGCGCGCGTTTCTCTTTTAACAATAACACTATTATATATTTCTCACTAACTTATAAACGAGTACGTGTATTACTTCTAACCCCCCTTCCACTAAACAACAATATAACGTGATTAAAAGTTTTAATAATTAATGAATAATAATAATAATATTCAAAGTGTTAACGACGACAACGAACGTAATACGGTTGACTACTAGTTATACAAATTCGACTATCGTATTTTCTATTAATAACAATTGTTATACGTGGAAGAAGAAACCGCTAAAGAGAAAGAGAGAGAGAGAGAGAGTGAGAGAGAAAGAAAGAAAGAAAGAAAGAAGGAACGAAAGAACGTGAAAACACAAAAGAAGACCAAAAAAAACAACGAAAACGAGATTCAGTGCAAAAGGATCTTCGTTGAACAATCGAAGCCGATTGAATGAAAAGAAAAAGGACAGATAGTTTAGTTAACGTAATAACTAAGAAAAAAATAAAGAAAGAGATAGAGTGAGTGAGTGTGAGAGAGAGAGAGAAAGAAGAGAGTGGGCGAGGGGGGTGACTAGTTTATAAAATTGAAGAAAGGACAGAAAGGAGAGAAAGAAAAGAATTCTATTACGAAACGTACATTGGGAAGAACGCCGCGTCACGATGTGTTGCTGTGTGTGTGTACGGTGTAAAGTGTTGGTGGTAAAATAGTGATAACTGAGATTTTTTTTATATATATACATATATATAAAGATCTTTAAAAAGCTTCCTCGAAACTATATTATTGACAAAAAGAAAAAGAAAGGGAAACAAAGAAAACTACTACGCGCAAGTTTTACACAAGTTGGTACGAATTGGCAGCTTTTTAAAGAAGCTTGCCGGTTCGTTTCCGGCATTCTGCAGTTTTGTCTCTTTTTGACTGCAATCTTTGATATCGGGCTTGTTGTTGTTTCTATCATCTGCCCCGGGATCCACGCTTTCTGATAAGGTAGGTGAAATGAATTTTTTTTCATTGGTATATATATATCTTTTGAAAACGTTAGGAGATTTCCGCGCGGGATATTTGTCAGCAATAATATTGAGGGGAATTATCAAATTTTTATATCGTAATCTATACTAATAGATAAAAAATATTATATATCGTATTATTTATCTTTAGCCCCCTTCTCTCTCTCTCTGTCTCTCTCCTTTGTCTTACTTTCATCACGAAAACAATTGCCGAAAAATGATTTATCTTTAAAATCAATCGCTTGTTGGTTCCAATTCTTATCGTGTTCTTCTTTTTTTGTTTTTTTTTGTTCTTCTTTTTCATAAACTAGTTTGATATCATCGGTTATTGTCGATCAGTGCTTAGTGGTGGTTGTTGCCTTGTTGGATATATCTCTAAAAAAGATTGATTTTTGGTGTAGAGATCTAATATCTCTCTGTTTTTTTTTTGTCCACGGAAGAGAGATCGATTCTTTTATATTATTATATATATTATTACGCGGGAGGAGTACGTACGTATTATTTACAATTTTGTTGATTTTAATATGAAATTTTTGATTAGAATAATATCGATTGTGTTTAGATTATTACGAATATAATCGTCAATTATAATCGTATTTATTTCGAGTAGGTAATTTCATTCAAACGTGTTCGTTTAACGATAGTAATAGAAAATATTTTCATTCAACCATTGAGAATGAAATCAGTTAACACAAGTGATGATGATGATGATGATTGTGGTGATGATCATTCAGTGCCAAAGACTCGTATCTTTATCATTCAAGATTTTTTCTTTGTTCTAATTAATTAATTCAATAATTAATTATTCTTATTAATTATTAATTATTTATTTATTTTTTTATTTTAGTTATTCAGTGCATTTGTAAATTAATTGTTGGTGATATAGATCATTTTTATGATCCATATCTTAATAATGATGATGATGATGATCATCATCATCATCATCGTGTTACCAGGATACATACTTTTGAAGTTTATTTGATCTTGTAGGATATATTAGCACGCGACGGATGCAAAGTAACTAAATATAGACTCGTCAAAGACGTAATCTAGGTTGCTTGAAAATTCTTTAGAAATGAGAAGAGAACACGAAAGAGAAAGAGAGAGAGAGAGAGAGAGAGGGAGTGAGTGAACGTAGGTTTCCGACGGGGTCGTTTGAATCGTTTGAAAAGCTCTACGCGAATTAAATTAATTTATGCGAGTTGGCTATGAGCCTTCTTTTCAAATCTACCAACGTTACCGACGTTTCTCTTTATGATCATTTCAACAAAAATTCGTTAATGTTTTTAACATTTTGATTATACACATAGAAAAAGGGTTTTTAATTATTGAATAAAATGAGAAACGATTTTTCTTACATCGATATAGAAAATAAATAAATAAATTAATTATTGTTAACGAAATAATTTGATGTGACGATAAATGATTTATTATCGAAAGATAGAAAAAAGTAAATAGCACTATTTCTGTGAACTGCGTTTTACATATATATATATAATATTAATACTATAATATAGATATAAAATCTATAAATAATAATTTATATTATATATTTTAATATTATATATATATTATTATTTATAGATTAAATATTATAAAATATATATATATATAATATACATATTTAATGGAAACTGGTAAACTAATATATTAATATTAAGTTATAAACATTTCAAAAATAAATTTATCGTTAAGTTTAGGACAGTAGCAGAGTGTAACAATTCAATGACAAATTTGTTCCAATTTTCAATTTAAATCTATTTTTCTATTTTTTTTTTTCTATTTTCAATGCAACCCTCCTCTAGTATTTTCCTTCTTTTTTTTTTTGGTGTTCGAATAATAGAAAGAAAAATTGTTGAAATTTCTTTTTGTGAATGGGTGTTGATTGATTTAAAAAGAGTAGCAATAGGTTGGTGGTGTTGTTGTTGTTGGTTGTGTTGTTGCTGATTGGTTTTTGTTGAAAGGAAGGATGTGAATCGAGGTAAAGAAAAGAGAGAGTTAGTCCTTCGGGGAAAAAAAAAGAAAGAAAGAAAGAAAGAAAGAAAGGAAAAAAAAACGCAATCGTTAAGGCGTAAAAGCGAAGAACGGGGATTTACTTTGACGGGAGAAACGAAAGTCGAGTACGCTCGAGTGGCCAACTCCTCCAAGCTCCGTCGGGTAAAAGAGGAATTTGAGGTTGCAGAACAGGTAGCTCTTCTCTATAAGTAAAGCTAAAGTAAAATTCTATCTAGTTAGACAGTCTTCAAATTTTATCTTTCTCCTTTTACTTTTGTTCAAGAAAGAATAATCATCTTTTCATTTATGTAATTGTCGTAAAGAATAAATTCTTATGAAATTTTGGTTTGTATGGGAAGGGGAAGTAAGAATGAAATGAAGGAAGGAAGGAAAGAAGTAAGGGTGAATTGAAGGGGAATTGTAGTAGTAGGAAGAAAAAGGAAGGAAGTAAATAAACAAACTAAATAAAAGATGAAAGAAAATTCTATTTATCTGTATATTATTACGTACGTGAGTCTATGTGTTTACATTTTCAAAGTAGTTCAACAAATATACAAAGAACGAGATTTCTTTAAAGGAGACAAAAGAAAAATATTGTTGTTAAGGAATAAGAAAATTCGATTGTATGTTGTTATGTGTGAAAATATTCCCCCACCCTTTTTCCTTACTTTGCCTTCTTTCTTTCTTTTTTTTTTTTTTTGTTAATATTTTTATTTTGTTTATCTTTCTTCTTTGATGTATATTTTATTCTTTCGTTCACTCTTCTTTTCGGAATTCGAAAAAAATGTGAAAATACGTAAGTAGAATAAGTTATTGGGTTCCGTTTTTATGGTAGGTTTATTTTTTATATTTTCACGATCGAAAAAGATATTCGTGACTAAAAAAACAAAACAACAAAGAAAGAGGTGTACGCGAATATTATTATTATTATTATTATTATTATTATTATTATTATGATTATTATTCCATATATTTCTTCTTCAATGTATAGTAATTGGCAATTTGCAAGTATAATAAACCCCAGTAAGAGGAGGTTTCTGTTTTCGTTTATTAGCCGCGAATTACCCTCGTTTATTAGCAAGACGATGTTGCATTTTAAAATATCTTTCTCTTTTTTTTTTTTTTTTTTGTTAGTCGTTGTTGTTGTTGTTGTTCATTTACGTAGATTTCGAGTTAACGCAAATTATGAATTTGAAGTATTCAAAGTTGCTTTATTAAAGTAATATTCAGTAAACGTACAATTTGCAAGTATGTCATTGATATCTTGTACACACTTGACTAGATTTACGTTTATTTTCTTTCTTTTTTTTTTTTTTTTTTGAAAAAGGATTAGAAATATGATCGATGGATTATTTGATGTTAGAAACGTTTGTTTGTTTGTTTTAATGATTTAAAACTAGATCATATGAGAGTCTTATATATTAGCAATGTAAACGTACTATAAATCATAATTTTCAAGTTCGTGAACTTTAAGTGGAAAGACAAAAATGTTTATTACAATTTGCATGTTTGATAAATGATTTGATCATTTTTAATATTTTATTTACTTTATAGAAGCGTAAATATAATATATTTAACGAATATTTTCGTTATATTATTTATAATAATAAAAATTTACAAAACGTCACATAAATACCAGGAATAATAGCATATGTTACAAGTAAAATATGAATTGGAATTGTGAAAATTGAATTATTCTTATCAAATATATAAAATTAAATAAATTTTAATTAATTTTATATTAATATAATATGATAAATTAATATAAAATTCTTATAATAATATTGCTTGTAACATCGAAAATAATATTACGTTTTTTCATCCTATATTATTACATCGATGCAACAACAACTTTCTACATGTAGATAAAAAAAAAAAAAATTATCGTAATGATTACAAGTTTAGGCTTTTACCTGGAATTATCCTTATCAGATAAGGATATTTGATAATAACCATAATAATAAATCAAAGAACCCGTATATTTTAATTTTATTTGTTTTAACGTTAAAATTATTCAACGAATAAATTTGTGCTCTCATTTATTACAATTGTTTTTTTTTTTTTAATTTTCTTTTTTATTACAAATAAATAACAAATTAACTCAATTTCTTATTATTAATATTTTTTAAATAATATTTTTAATATATTTTAATATATTATAAATATTACATTTATTTATACTAATTATTATAGAATAGTAATTTTTTATTTCAAATATAATATACAAGTAAATTTGTGTTCTCATTTATTACAATTGTTTTTTTTATTACAAATAACAAATAACAAATTAACTCAATTATTTATTATAAATATTATTTATATAATATATTATAAATATTATATTTATTTGTATTAATTATCGTTGAATAATTGAATAATAATTTTTCATTTAATTTCAAAATAAATATATACGTCATATAAAATATAATAAAATAGTATATATAAAATGCGTAATAAATTACAATTTGTTAAATAATATTAATATGACACAGCGATATGTGGTTTTTGTATCCTATTAAAATGCAATTTGTGATCTTCAAATAATCGTAATGGCTAACTTTCATGTGTTGTGTGTTATGTTGTGTCGTCAACATGAACGGTATATTCCTCAAGAAGATATCGGCTTTCGTTGTTATAAGGTAAAGCAAGAAGAAGGAGAGTAAAAGAGATCGAAACGATAGAGGGATTCGATAGGGGGTCCGATATATGGGACCCCATTGCTCGACCGACGGCTAAGATTGTACGCGAGTTTCGAACACACATCTTTTTTATTACGAGATCCTCAACTTTTTTTTTATTTATTTATTTATTTCCATTCCCATCGTTTTTCGATATATTTTTTTCTTAAAGGACACACATTCCCATAGAAAAATAAAAAAATAATGGTAATGGTAGTTATGGTTGTATTGACATAAAAAAATAATTAAAGTAAACTGTAAATATTGTTCTTGAATTTCAATACATTTTATGAGTGTATTTTTAGGT